TTGGCAATCCCAGTAGCAGGTTCCTAAGGCCATGTGGCATCTCCCTGCCATTGACCGGAAGGAAAAAGAAAAGGTCTCTTGTTTACCCCACGCCCTTGGGCTGTTTGAAATCACCCAGGATTAGCTTCTCTGTGCTTTCGGGGGCTGTGCACCGGAGGTGGGAGCGCAGTGGGCCATTGGCTCAGGCATCAAGCTGGAGAGGAGGGTGGTCCACCCGTCGTCTGGCGGGGTCCCTCTGATACTCCGTCCAGGCACCTGCAGCATCAGCTGCACACTGGGAACTGATCTGAGATTGGTCATTGTCTCCAGGGAAGCCTGGAGACCCGGAATCCAGGTTCCTGGGGAGCCGGGCAACCCAGAGCAGAATGGCCCAGAGAGCACTGGCCCCTTGTTCAAGGTCCACATTCACTGATGAAGTACTGCCAGAGTCAGGGGAAGGCAGAGCGAAGACCCGCAGCTCCAGGGCACCTGGGAGTGGAAGCGTCCAGCCTCCACTCTGACCGGGCTGACCCCTCCTCTCAGCACGACTGCTTTCCATTAACGGCGGGCTAAGAAGTCCTTGCCAAAGCCTCGATCCTTACTCTGAAGCTGGGCTGGTGGTGGCATGGCTACAGAAGGGTTGTTGGAGGTGGCGATGCCACACAGCGGGATGCCCAGCTCTCCTCACACCCGAACCTGAGGTCTCCAGCCAGGGAGCCCAGAGCCCCCATCTCCTTGGCTGGCACCCTGTTCCACCCGAGGACCCTATGGTTGGGGTAGGGGTGGGTGGTGTGGACAGGGGTGGGGCAGGATTCTATCTTGTCTTTAACGCTTCCTCCTTCCCTTTGGGTGGGCTGGCTGGCTGCTTGTGAAACAAGTCGTGTGTGGGCCTCTCCAGGGAGGGTCTGTCGCAAGGTACGGGGTTGGAGTCCTAGGGTAAGAAGGGACCACCTCCTGGGGGCCTGCCTCTTCTCCTTCATCTCTCCCCCACCTGCCTAAAGACTGGAGCATTCCTAGAATCTTGAGGAGACCCAGGCGTGTCTCCTTGAGGAAAGAGCTCTTTGGGGCCCTTCCCACCAGGAGCCCACATCCACCTCCTCTGGATAATAATATTGTGACAGGGCCTTGGGGTGCACAGCAGGTAGGGGCTCTGGCTGGGGCCCGAAGCCGGTGGGCTTTTCAGTTAAGAGCGCTTTCTGTCCCAAAGGCTCCCTCACTGCCATCGAGTCAATGCGGACTCACAGGGACCTGCGGTGGGTTTCCAAGACACCGACTGTTGACAGGAGTTGAAGGCCCAGTCTTTCTCCCGTGGAGCTGCCAGTGATTTAGAACTGCCGACCATGCAGATCACAGCCCGATGTGTAACCACTACACCTGGCAGCCCCCAGCCCCCAAACTCCACTCTGTCCCGGAGTTGATTCTGACTCACAGTGACCCGATAGGGCATACAGAACTGGCCCTGGGAGTTTGAGGGCTCTAACTCTTCCCGGGAGTAGAAAGCCTCCTCTCTCCTGCGGAGGAGCTGATGGTTTTGAACCGCTGGCCTTGCAGTTAGCGACTCAACTCATACCCCACCACATCCCCAGGGCCTCTCACAATGGTGTAGCCAGAGAGGGCCACCACTGTCCCAGAATGCAATGCACATGGAGGGACTTTTGTAGTCCCTCAGCATCAGTGGATGGAGTTCGATTTACCCAGTTCCTGGAAACGTACAAATGATTTCAGATCTTATCCGATGTCTTCACTGACTTCTGTGGCCATGCCTAGTCTTTCGGAAGATTTTTTTTTTTTTTCACAGACTGCTGCTTAAATCTAACACCTTAGCTTGCAAGACGCCTCCCCTTATCCTGCCCACCTCTGCTTCTTGGCTAGGAAGCCGCAAATAATCTGCAAGCCAACACTGCCTGCCCTAAGGGAGCATCCCAGCCAAACAAAAGCCCTCCGAGGGCGGCCCTCGTAAAGTGTTGGACGGGTGCTCTCTAATGTCCGTAAATGGGATTCAGGGGTCCTCCTGTCACCATGGAGACAAGTGCTTATCCCCCCATGCAATGGGCAGAGGCGCTTGCTGGGCCTAGAGGTAAGCTTGCTGGTCTTATGACGTACAGCCTCTGGGTTCTCTCAGTTCCCATCGAGAGAATCTAGGCCTCACTTGTCTCCCTCCCCATCCCCAAGGCAGTGAAACCCCAGGGCTTCAGAGAGAAAGCAAAAATCCCTGCTGTCCTAACAGGAAGGATGCTTTGAAGCATCCCGTGACCTGGTCCAGCTCCCCGCCCCCCACTCTGACTTTACAGATGGAGAGGCCGAGGCCTACACAGTGGGCAGAGGCTGGCCCCCTGTTGTCCTGCTAGTGGGTGGCAAAGTTGGGGTCCAACTCAGACCTCCTGACCTCCAGTCCAGAGCTCTTTCCAACAACCAGTATGTCGACTGCTGCTGAAAACGCTCCCCGACCAGGCCCGCATGTCCCCTTTCAGCACCCGCACCCCCACCCGCCTCTCTGGGCCCCCTATGCGTATTTCGGGTCATAGCAGAGCATGTTGAGCTCCAGGTTCTCGTGCCAGTGCCGCAGGAGCACAAAGAGCTGGCGGCCCGCGGCGCGGAGCGCGCTCTGCGAGTGGTTCTCCGGCACCTTCTGCTGCTCCAGCCAGGAGCTGGCCTTGGCGGCCACCAGCTCCCACTCAATGAAGTATGCGGCCGAGCTGTGCTCCAACCAGGCCAGAGCCACCACGGTGGCCCACAGCTTTCCCAGCTGCTCCACTCGGGCCCTCGGCTCCAGGTCCAGGGGCTCCAGGGAGGAGCTGTCGCAGGAGTGGGGCTGAGGTGAGGTTCTGCCACACAGCTGGGGACTGAAGCTCACGGACTCAGGCTGGCGGGCAGTGAGGGACACTCGGTGGCAGGCGAAGGGGGACGTCCACTTGAGCTTCTCCATGGGGATGTGGGTGGCCTCACAGAAGGCTTGATTGAGCAGGAAGGCTCCTGAGGCCAGCTGCAGAGACACCTGTGGGGAACGGGGGGAGGCATTCAGTGGGCCCCCAATATTTTCACCCTGGGAGCTCCCATACCACACAGAAGCCAAGGCCCACATCTACCCCCCTCCCCTCGGGGAGTAGCGGGATTCCTGGCGGCACACCTCCACCCTCTACTCCACGGGCACTTCAAGCTCATCAGCTCCAAACTCCCCCCAGGTCTTTCGGGTGGATCCAGCTGGGCCAGGAGGCTGTCCTCGGCTGGTCAGCAGCTTCTGGGCAGCACAGTCCCTCCCTGGCCCTGCACCAGTCAGGTCTTATCAGGCCCACTTTCTAAGGCGGCTGGAGCCCACTACTTGCCTCTTCATACTCTCCTGGCCTCTAGGTACCCCCTCTGCCCAATACACCTTTAGGGGATCCATTGGGATCATTGTAAGGTCTCGATCCCATTGCCCTTTGACTTAAATCAGTTCAGTGGCTTCATCTTTCTCTTCAAGTGGATCTAAACTCCGACTTACAAAGCTCTGCAGTGACCGGGCTTTGGCTCATGCTTGTCAGTCCCCTGCCCCACACGCCATTCCCCAGCCAGCAGAGCTGGCTCACTCTCCTCGCTTGGCCCACGCTGTGACTGCTCCTCCTCCAGGTCTCACCTTAACCTTTCCCTCCTTCGAGAAACCATGCTTGGTTCGTCCTCGACCTCAAGTGGGCCTAAGGGGCCTGCCCCTCTGCTCTCCCTCACCAAACGGACTTCTCCGGTCCTTGTCTGTATCCCCACTGGACCCTGAATGCCAGGAGAGCAGGGGTGGCATCTAGTGCCAGGTGGCCTCCCCAGGGCCTGGCATGGTGGTGTGGCTGCCTGTGCTGCGCTCTGTAGCCCCGGATAGCTGGGAATTTAAAATCACAACACACGCAGGAACAGAGCTGCGCAGACAAGTTCAGGTTGCACCCTCGACTCGGCGGGCGGGCCCCAGAGATGAGCAGGGCGAGGCTCCCCTGCTCCTCATTTGAGAGAAGCTCCCTCCTGACCTGGTGGTCTGTCCCACCACAGGCGGAAGGGGACACCTGTGAGACATGTGCTCAGCAGGGGCCCCATCTCTGGGATGTTAATTTTGCTTGCTTTTGGGTCCTTTGAAGGCTCATGTTTATAGACTGAAGAACAGACCCACTGCTAGAGCGTGCAGAAGGATGAGAAATTTCCTGTGACTTTTGCAATCTGCAGACTGCAAAGAATATTTGTGGTACTTGACCTGGCTTCTAGCAGTGCCCCTAGGTTCCTGCGAACTCTCGCTGCCCTACTGGCTATTTGGGTGGAAAGGTCTAGAGCAGTGGTTCTCAACTTTCCTAATGCTGCAACCCTTTCATGCAGTTCCTCATGTGGTGGTCACCCCCCAACCACAAAATTATTTTCGTTGCTACTTCCTGTCATTTTGCTACTGTGATGAATCAGCGACCCCTGTGAAAGGGTTGTTCGACCCCCAAAGGGGTCGCGGCCCACAGGTTGAGAACCGCTGCCCTAGAGCATTCAGCACTCAGGGGACTTAGCCTCGAAGACCAAGATCTTCTTCATTTGGGGGAGGGGGAGCTGGCGGGGGCTCCAGGAAGGTTCCACGGCTTTGGGGCAGCTGAGGCTTGGGGTGTGGGGCACTCACCAGTGGCACGTAGTCCAGATGCTGGCTCACTGAGGGGGGCTCTGGAGGCTTGCTCAGTGGTTTCCCCAGGAAGCTCCTGGCTGCTCGAGTCAGCAGCCGGGACTTGTTGAGATTCAGTCTGTGTGTGGGGAGCAGGGAGGAGTGGTCACAGCTGTCCTGGGGGTGTCCCTGGTCATCCCACCACCGGTGTCCACCCAGAGGCCTCTGAAAGCCAGGGTCAGAAGGGTTCTGACAGATGGCTCAGTCCAACCAGCTCTGCTGGGGGGACTGGGGTCGGGAGTGAGGAGAAGCTACTTGCCCAAAGTCGCCTAGTGAGCTGGTGGCATCCTGGCAGGAGCCAGTGCTCTTTGATGACTCTCCCTCTCTCATTACCTGATTGCTGGAAAACACTCTGGAACCCTTATGTTGGCCAACTGAACTTTTTTTCCCCTCTCACATGTGCATTGGAGTAAATCTGCCGCACGAGCCCTCCCTAGAGTATTGAAAAGCAGGAATGTTGCTTTGAGGACTAAGGTGCGTCTGACCCATGCCATGGCATTTTCAATGGCCTCAGAGGCATGTGGAATTTGGCCCTCGAATAAAGAAGCCCGGAGAAAAACCAAGGCACTTGGATTGCGGGGCCAGAGGTGAATATTGAAAGTACATGGGCCGCCAGAAGCACAGACCGATCTCTCTTGGAAGAAGTAAGGCCAGAGTGGTCCTTGAGGAGAGGATGGCAGGACTTGGTCTTACGTACTTTGGGCATCGTGTCAGGAGACCCCAGTCCCTGGAGAAGGACATCATGCTTGGGAAAGTGGAGGGGTGGTGAAGGAGAGGAGGGAGGCCTCAAGGGGATGGGCTGACCCGGTGGCTGCAACAGTGGGCTCAGGCACCTGCGGGCCCACGCAGCGTTTCACTCTGCTGTGCATCGGGCTGCTCTGGGTTGGAACTGACTGCAACAACACTTTAGAGGCATCACTTATACAAATCCTGTTCCCTATTGGTAACCCTGCTCCGATGCGGCATTGTCCAGCCCTGAGGTCAGGAGAGTCCCGTGCCTGCCTCCCCTGGTCTCTGCATTTGACAGGGATGATGGGGGTGAGGGAGATGAACTGTGTCAGGGGCATGTGAAGTAGTGTCCTGAGCCATCTCTACATTGCCCCATCTTACTGACTTTGTTGAAACATAAGCCTGGACCTGCTTTGGCCTTCCCAGCCACGGACAGCCCCCAGGAAAAGGGGGATGCTGAGCTGACCCTCCATGGGAACCCCACTTACTTGAATCCAAAGAGACTCTCAGGGGTCTTCACAGAAGAAAGGGCGTTGGGGTGTTGGGGACCTGGAGAATCACAGAATGATAACGTTGGGCCCTCACAGATGACCCTGTCCGACCTCTCCTTGCCCGGCTGGGCCAAGAGGCCTGAAGAGGGCTTGCCTATGTCCTTATGTCCCTAGGGGTCCGAGCTAGCCATGATGCTGCTGGGCTGTTCCTAACCCAGCTGGTTGGTATGGGGAGCCACGAAGGGACCCAAATAAGAAACTGACCTGCGTGTCTCCTAGGCAGATGGGCACCGGCAGAAGGTCCCCTGGAAGGTTTCCTGTGAGGTCTTGTGGCAGCTCTATGTCACCCTCCCTCAGCACAAAATGAGGACATTTCATATCCCTGGGAGGCTGCTGCTGGATTCTGGGAATGAGGTAGCAGACTGTTCCCTCTGCTGGACTTGGGATGCCTGAGTCCAGACCCAGCTCTGCCATTCACATGCTGGGGGACCCCTCCGAGCCTCCGTTGCCTCATCTTTAAATCAGGGGCAGGCCTATTGACCTGTCCCAGGGCGGTGCTGAGGAAATGGTGTCCTGGGGATCTTGCTGGAGGACAGGCACTGTCCCACCTCCGTGTGCAGTCCCCGGAGCTGTTACTCACTGCTCACTCACCCTCGGGAGCTGCATCCTTCTGGAAACTGGGCTGCGAGGCACTGCCCACAGACGAGGCCGGGTGCTCCTCCAGGCCTGCAACACGGGAAGCCGGTGATGCTGGGCCCTCCCTTCCCCCCCTTCTTACCTCCCACCACCCCTAAGAGAGTGAGGGTCTCCAGCCACAGTTCCTAAGGGGTGGGATGTGGGGGAGGGGGGAAGAGGGAGGAGGATGGGTGATGCTTTGCTCTTTGCTACCCCCTCCCCCCGCCACACATGCTGTCAGGTGCCTGGGAGGACTCAGGTTGTGGGCAGAGAACAGCCCCTGGGGTTGGCTGATCTTGAAAAAGGGGAGAGGAGGATTGGGTTTAGGGATTGAATTGTGTTTCCCAAACACACGTGGAGGTCGGTCATAAGGTCCCATGCCTGTGACCGTGGCCCGATCTGGAAATGAAGTTGTGTTACGTGGATGATGGGTCCCGAACCTAAGTCCTTCAGAGAAGTGACACAGAAAGCCACACACACAGGGGAGGAGGCCACGAGAGGTTCTGTGTCCCAGCTCCGGAAAGCTGAGAAAGGCGCAAGGCTGCAGAAGCTGACAGAGACAAGGCCCCCCCCACCCCCACTTTCCCGCCCCAGAGCTGACCGAGTGAGGGTGAGCCAGCATAGCCCTGGTTATGGGGTCTTGAAGTCCATCTCTCATCTCCACACTAGACGAGAATAAACTCCTGTTCTTCACAGCCGCCTGCGTGTGGGGTTTGCTACGGCTGTCCCAGGCCACCAGGACAGGTGGGTGAGCAAGGGGGCAGGGAGGAGGTGAGCCTCTCTCGCTCTTGCCAAGGCTGTACAGATGGTGGCATGATTGGGTGGCGCTGAGCCCTTCTGCGTCTTGGGCTTCAGAGACCTTGGGTGGTCTGGCCCGGACCAGGGGCTCAGAGTGCAGAGGACTCTGGTTCTTGGGCAGGAAGCTGCAGTCACCTCACACAGGCCCAGGCTTTTGAACGGGGCACAAATGACTTACTTAGGTTTTGAAATTCGCCACCTTCTGCTGCAGATTCTTCACTGAACCTCATCTGGGGCCGTCCGAAGCTGGCAGAGGTATCTCTTAGATGTCGGCTCAGGACCCGTGAGCTGGACATCCGATAGGCAGCACCTGCACAGAGGACAAGAAGGGGTCAGCTGGATCCAGATGTCTCCGCCCTTTGTCTCTTCTTCCAGACTGACAGACATGTTCTGTTTTTCACCTTTGAATCATCCAAAGGTGGGAAGGCACAGTACAAAGTTAGGCGACCAGCCTTGATGTCAGAAAGACCGGGGTGTGAATCCCAGCCCCGTCTCTTACTAGCCAGGCAGGCTGATGAAGGACTCTGAGCCTCCGTTTCTTTATCTGGAAAATGGGGACAATAACACTACCTTGCCTGGTAGATACGACTGTTGAGATAATGGTCAGAAAGAAGCATTGGTCTCTAGCAGTCAAAAGGCAGGGTCCCCCATTTGCTGTCTGAGAGACCTGGGTTCAACGCCCCCTGCCCCCCCCCCCCTCGCCCAATAGGGAAAGCCTCTGAAGTTAGCCCCCGGGCATGCTCAATGGAGATAGAAGGGAGATAAAGCCACAGAGCCCGGAGCCTCAGGGTCCTGAGAACCCTACTCTCCGTCTCACATACTTTGGACCTGCTACCAGGAGGGGCAGCACCCTAGAGAAGGACATTGTGCTTGGTAAAGTCAAGGGTCAAGGGAAAAGAGGAAGGGCCTCCACAAGATGGATTGACACGCTGGCTGCAGCTGTGAGCTCCATCCAACATGGCAACGATGGTGACTGTGACGATGCCCAGGACCAGGCAGTGCTTCCTGCTGAGGCGCACAGGGTCGGGCTATGAGTCACAGCAAAGTAGACAGCACCCACGACAGCAGCCCGAGGTTACTACGACTTCTATCCACTGATAGAACGTGGGTTTCGGGCCTGGGGAGGCTGTGCATCACCGTCCGTTCTCTGAGTCTCAATGTAGATTGATGCACAGAAGGCTCCGAGAAGTCCCGCTGTAAAGAAAGCTTTGGAATGTTCTTTACTCTCATGCTCCCCAAATGTATTTCCTAATCTGGTTTTTCCCATGTTGGTGCTGAATGCCACTTAGCAGGAAACAGGACGAGGTTTCCAATTCCGGGGAGTGTACATTGGGCAGGGCTGGTCCAGAGCCTGGGGCCTTTGGGATTTAGGTTACGATGCGGGCCAGGTTCTTAACCACCCCAGGCTGTGACAGATAGGGGGGGGCGGGGGGGAGAGGAGATGCTTTGTGGGGCAATGGTCTGGGTTAGAGAGCTGCTGGCCTGAACCTGGAAGGAGAGTAATTGAGGGCAAGAGAGAGTGGAATGAGTTTTTGATTATTTGGTATTTATTTATTTTGTAATTTCTACAGTGGACACATAGAATAAAATCATTCTCATAGGGTAAAAGGGAGTGGGGTGGTTTCACGCCTTGGGCAGAGCAGTGGGAGGGGGGGTCCATGTGCCCTCCCCAATGACGCCCATACTATCCCTGTCCCCAGTGGGCTTTTCTGCTCCCAGGTCCTTCCTTGCAAGCCTCCTTTTTATCTCAGGCCCCCTCCTCCACAGGGGCTGTGTGGCCCTCAGAAGTAACCGGGGCTACCTGCAGCGCTTACCAGAGTTGGGGTACTCCACCACCATAGGCAGGTACCGGCTCTGGCTCATGTCCACCGGTACGAAGGTGGTGTACTTGCTGATGATGTTGCAGGCCTTGCTGGTGTGCACAGCGTTCACCTGGTAGCGCCGGCTGGATCCTGTGGAGGGAGAAGCTGGTGTGTCCACCCTGGCTCAGACATGGAAGCTCTGGAAGCTAAAGACCAGGCTAGAACGGTGGTCCCATCTCTGAGATTAAATGAGCCTATCAGACCGAGGGTTTGCCAACCCGCCAATTCAGCATCTGAATAACGATGATAACGAACATGATTGATCTCCATCATCATTCCATAGAATCAAAGACTCGAATGTACAATGGTAAGATACTATCTCAGAATAAAAGCTGCTTCCCTTAAAGAAGTGTGTGTTATGAAAGCCCCGTGTGTGAGCTGTGGTTTTCTTTTCATTTCGCAGCCATGTGATGAGAACCTTGCTGCGGGCCTTCCCAGGTCCCCTGACTGCTAGGTGGGACCCACTGGGCCATTTCATTGCAGAGAAGACTGACAATCAGAGAGGGAGCATGGCGTGTGCAGGGTCACCCAGCAAGGCAATAATGGACCTGAGACCAAGACTCAGGTGTCCCTGGCCACCGAGTCCAGCTCTTTGCACTCAGCACACACACACACACACACACACACACACACACACACACACACACTGTCTCCTTGGCTCGCTGCCTTCCAGAGGGCTGTGAGGCGTCCAGGACAGACAAGCCGCTGGTAAACTGTAAGGCGACATGTTCACGGAGAGAAAAGAAACCTCCATCTTATACAAAAATACAAGTCATATAAAATTTCACATCGACAACATATTACTCTGTAAGTAAAACGCGAAACTTCTAATAATATAAAAGACCATGTATATATATTTCTACCGCCCATCTGTCAGTTTGTCCTCCTGGGCTGGCTTGCCTGCTGCTGTGATTTGGGAAGTGAAGCCCCGGATTGTAAATACAAGCCTGTGGTGGACAGGTCGCAGCAGAGCGTTCAGCGAGGACCGATTTGGAAGGAAGGCTGGGGGATGCGTGTCTGCACGGCAGGACTGTGTGCACCTGGCTGGCTTGGGGCATGTGAGGAGGAAGCAGTCCCTACAGGAGGGCGTGGTATTTGATGGAGTCGAGGGCAAGGGCGAGGGAGGCCCTCCTCCAGGTGAATTGGCACAGGGACCACAACTCGAACACCCTAGGCTGGCACATGCCAGGGCGGGCCAACGTCTCGTGCAGTTGTCCCTGCGAGCTTGAGACCGCTCGAAGGCAGCTGTTGGCCGTGGCTGTTGAGTCGGTTTTGACTGAGGGGGACCCAGCGGGTGCAGAGTCGAACTGCCCCATAGGGTTTTCTGAGCTGTGACCTTTCAGAAGTGGATTGCCAGATCCATCTTCCCCGGTGCCTCTTGGTGGGTTCGAACTGCCAACCTTTCAGCTAGTCGTCAAGGCTTAAAGGTTTGCACCATCCACGAGACTTTCTACTCCTGTAGAGAGGTCCAACCTTGGAAGCCCACAGGGGCAATTTGACAGGGTCATCTGCCCTATAGGGTCACTATGAGTCAGTATCAACTCGCTGGCAGGGAGTTGGCTTTGGTTTGGAAGGACCTATGAGATCAAGTCTAGATCTATCTATGTAGGGCTCCATCCTATATCTGCCCCAATTGCTGGACTAAATTAGCTGCCCTCACCATCCTGGCCATTTTGTACGATGCCAGGAAGGACAAATTGAAGAGGAAGAACATCACATTGGCCATTAAAGAGAATATTCCAAGAGCTACCCTGAATGACACTGTTGTCAGTGATAGGATAATATCTATATTCCTGCCAGGAAGACCAGCTAGTACAGCTATCCTTTAAGTTTATGCAACAACCACTAGTGCTGCGGATGAGGAAATAGATTTTTACCAGCTTTTGCCATCTGAAACAGATCACATGCAATCAAGACGCGTTGAAAATTATTGGTGATCGGAAGGTGGAGATTGGAAACAAAGGATCAATTGTTGGAAAATATGGCTTTGGTGACAGCAGTGACCAAGGATCATATGATAGAATCTTGGAAGACAAATTACTTAGTCATTGCAAATATTGAAAAATGACAGCTGTACCCGTGGACCATGTCAGATGTAATATAACACATACATCGACCATGTCTGTGGAAAGAGACAATGGAGAAAGATCAGTCATCCATCAGAACAAGGTCAGGGGCTGACTGCAGCACAGTGACCACCCAATTGCTCATAGGCAAGTTCAAGTTGCAGCTGAAGAAAATTAAAACAAGTCCGTGAGCGTCAAAACACAGCCTTGAATATATCCTACCTGGCTTTGAGAGCATCTCAGGAATAGATTTGGCAAATGGAACATTAATGGCAGGAGAGCGGATGAGCTGTGGAATGACATCAAGAGCATCCTACATGAAGAACCCAAAAGGTCATTACAAAGACAAGAAAGACAGACAAGACAGATGTCAGGTGAGACTCTGAAATTTGCTCTTGGGTGTAGAGAAGCTTAATCAAAAGGAAGAGATGATGTAGTCAAAGAGCTGAACAGAAGATTTCAAAGGGTGGCTAAGGAAGACAACGTATTATCATGAAATGTTCACAGAGCTGGAGCAGGAAAACCAAAAGGAATGAACACGTTTGGTGTTTCTTCAGCTGAAAGGACTGAAGAAAACATTCAACCCTCGAGTTGCAATATTGAAGAGTTCTATGCACAAAATATGGAATGACACAAGAAACACCAAAAGAAGATGGAAGTAGCACACAGAGTCAGTGTACCAAAAGGAATTGGTCGACATTCAACCATTTCAGGTGGTAACCTAAGATCAAGGACCGATGGAAAAGTCCAAGATGCATTGAAGGCATTGACCTAAAACGAGACTCCCAGAATGGGTGGAACACCAATGGAAACATTTCCAGAGCTGTGTGCAGCACTGGAGACACCCACTTGTCGATGGCCAGAAACCCAAACAACCATCTACCTAGTTAACCTAATGGGACCATCCCATGTTCACGGCCGTCCAAAGAAAGCAACCCAACAGAATGTGGAAATCATCAAACATTAATATCACATACAAGTAAAATTTTTCTGAAGGTAATTAAAACAAACAAAAACCGGTTGCAGCAGTAGATCAACAGGGAGCTGCCAAGGATTTTGGCCAGATTCAGAACAGAATGTGGAATAAGAGATATCATTGCTGATATCAGATGGCTGAAAGTAGAGAATAATACCCCAAAGATAATACCTGTGCTTTTGACTATGCAAAGGCATTCAGCTGTGTGGATCAGAACAAACTGTGGATAACGTTCTGAAGAATATGAATTCCAGAACACTTGACTGTGCTCCTGTGGAGCCTGTGCCACCTGTGGTCGACCAGGAGGCACTCGTGTCAATGGAACAAGAGGATGCTGAATGTTGAAAACCACGAAAGGTATGTGTCAGGATTGTATCCTTTTACTATGCTTATTTGACCCGTCCAGAGCACATCAGGGTGGAAATTGGACTGTAAGAAGAAGATGAGGCATCAGGATCGGAGGAAGACTCATTAACTACCTTCCATATGCAGATGTCACAACCTCGCTGGCTGAAAGTGAAGAGGACTTGAAGCCCTTGCTGATGAACATCAGAGACTGCAGCGTGCTGTACCGATTACAACTCAATGCAAAGAAAACAAAACGTCCCACAACTAGACCAATAGATAGAATCATGGTAAGTGGAGAACAGATTGAAATTGTCAAGGATTTCATTGACTTAGACTCACAATCAACAGTCAAGGAAGCAGCAGTCAAGAGATCAAACGGCATGTTGCATCGGACAAATCGGTGGCCAAAGCGCTATTTAAATGGCTGAGGAGCAAAGATGTGACTCTGAAGATGGAGGTGCACCTGACCCAAGCCATGGTCTTTCCAATGGCCTCATATGCCCGTGAGCCAATGCTGGACTATGAATAAGGGGAATCAAGAAAGAATCGGTGCATGTGGATTATGGTGCGGGTGAAGAATATCATCAACTATACCACAGATTGCCTAAAGAACAACCAATCTGTCTGGGAAAAGTACAGCCAGGATGCGTCTTAGAAAAGAGGCTGGCTGGGACTGCATTTCACACTGCATACATGCCATCAGTACCAGACTTGGTAAAGCAGAGGGCATCAGAAAAAGAGGAAGACCCTCCACGGGGTGGAGTGGCACAGTGTCCGCAACAATGGGCTTAACAGGCAAGGCGGTGAGGTGGCATAGGACCGGGCAGCGCTTTGTGGTCTCTAGGCTCACCAGCAGCTGGAACCAACTCAGAGCACCTAACCACGATAACCAGCCATCCTGTCACACAGTCTCTTCAATCTCTCTACATCCTGATAGCACTTAGCCCATTGCCATTCAGTAGATCCCAGCTCCTAAGATCCCTGTAGGGCGGTGGTTCGCAGCCTTCCTAATGCCACCACCCTTTAATACCGTTTCTCATATTGTGGTGACCCCCCAACCATAAAATTATTTTTGTTGCAACTTCATAACTGTAATTTTGCTACTGTTGTGAATCGGGCGACCCCTGTGAAAGGACCTGCGGGTTGAGAACCGCTGCTGTAGGGGATATTAGAACCATTCCGTAGGGATTCCTAGCTGTGAATCTTGTTGGCCACATCTTTCTTCGGCGGGACAGCTGGTGGGTGCAAATCGTTAACCTTATGGTTATAGGCCGAGCACTTAAGCAGTGCGCCCCCAGCACTTAGGACAAGCGCCGTCAATGGATTGCTTGTGTAATTCATTATTTGATGAATGCGGCTTTCCTGCTAGCTTGTGTTCAACACCTACGGTAGGGTGGGGGACTGGGGTGCCCCTGTGTCATTTCCTGCGAGGCCAGCGGCATGAGCTAGCCTGGTCCCGACTCCCCATCTGCAATAAGCCTAGAGGGTTCTGTGGGGAAGGCCGCCGTCCAGGAGGAGGGGGACACCTGAAGGGGGGCTGTCGCTGCTCTAGCCCCAGGAGGCGCTGCAGAGGCGAGGCGCTGGGAAGGGAGGAGGAGGGAGAGTTAGAGGAGGGGAGAGAGATGGCTCTGGGGTGGCGTCTGGAACGGACCCGCTTGGAAGGAGGCGATTTGGGGGTGGAGGTCGGGGGGAAGGGGTGCAGGCAAGGGGTGGGATGCAGGGAGGGGGCGGGGAGGGCCCAGGGAAGAAGGGCGGGGCGGGGCTGTGGGGGGTGCCTGACTGCCACGGTCCTCTAGGAGGCTCCGAAGAGGGGGGCCGCCCACTCACCTTGCTCGATCTCGGCCTCGCGCTCCGCCAGCTGCTCGAAGTCGCGGATGACGGCGCGGGCCGCCAGGTGGTGGAAGGTCTCGCTCCAGAGGTCGGCGGCGTCGCGCGGGCCCTCCTGCCCGGCGCCCGGCGGACCCAGCTCGAAGCTCACCTCCCACTGCAGCCTTTGGCGGCCGCGCAGCCCTCGGACCACGGCCTTGCCGACCACTGCGCCTGGGCTGGTGGCACTGCCAGGCTCAGCTGGGGGCTCCCGGGCCTCGTAGCACATCTCGGTCTCGAAGGCAGAGGGGTGGTGGGACGGCTCTGCAGGGGGAGGGGCACGTGGGCCAGGCACCAGGCTGGGGTCCCTTGTCCACCCTGGGGGCACGCCCCCTTTCCCCCTGGCGCAGACACTTCGAGCTAAGCAAGGGCAGCCGGCTCCCCGCGGAGGACAGACGACAGGGGTGACGTGGGGCTGTCCTCGAGAGGAAGCCACTTTCCCTGAAGACGCCGGCCAGGTTGGGGCACCCAGAAGCAGAAAATGCTGCGGCAGGTTCGACACCTGGGAGCCTCACAGACAGCCCCAGGGCCATATTGATTGGGGAAGAGTGCGGTTGGCGATGCCCTCAGTGAGGGTGTGAGCCATGCCCCCTGCCCTCTGGGCCTCCCCCCTGCAGCAGAGCCATAGCCAAGTATTCATCCCTGTCCCAATCAGGCGCTAAGACGCACGTGGGCACTTACCCAGGTCCCCCGGGCTGCGGCGGTCCGGGATGTGTCTCAGGCTGGACCCAGGATTCAGCTCTCTCTTAGGGTTCCAGGCCAGGGGGTCCTGGTCTGAAAGCAGGAAGGGCTGGCAACCTTGAGGTAGCAGAGAGGGCCTGCGGGCTCCTGGGCCCTGGATTTTGGGACCCTGGTTGGAGTCCAGACCACTGTTCAGCAAAGGCTAAGAGGGGCAAGAGGAAGAAGAGGAGGAGGAGGAGGCTGAGCCCAGGTAGCTGGAACCTCCTCCTCTCATCACTCTCCATGTGCCCCACCTCCACCCCTCACTCCCCCAGCCCTCAACTTTGTCCCTGGGTGCCACAGCCCCCTGGGGCATTGTCCCTTTAGGGCCCAGGGACACATGGTCCATGTTCATTACCCAAGAGAAATAAATATCTGCCCAAATAATCCCAAGGCACGGAGTATCACACAACACATGGCATTCTGAACCCACTTTGTCTTTTTGCCACGAAGTTTAAAACTCGGTGTGTAGTTGAAATTATCAACCTTTCCCCTTATGTCTTATCATATGTCATGCTTAGAAAGAGCTCTCAACTTAAGGAAAATTTAAAAAGCTAGATTTTGTGATTTCAATTTTTGCATATTTCTATTTTGCGCTCATTGATCCACACGAAATTAATTTTGGCAATAGGAGATTGGAACCAGCTTTTTAACTTCCTTTTCCAAGTGGCTTAAATCTCAACACGGTTTATTGGATTTGGTTCACTCATTGTGATCTCTGGCTAGCTCATCACTTCCCTAACACCCCCACCCCACCCCCAATGGAGCTCAGGGCAGGTTTGGGCTCTTTGTTTTACTGTGTTGACGTGTTGATTTAATCCACCTAGACTGGACCAATAGGTAACATCATGATCAATGGAGAAAAGATTGACGTTGTCAAGGATGTCATCTTGCTTGGATCCGCGATCAAGGCTCATGGAAGCAGCGGTCATGAGATCAAGTGACACATTGCTTTGGGTAAATCTGCTGCATTAAAAACAACAACACACAAAAGACCCTCATGGCTATCCAATCCATTCCGATTTAGGCAACCCGAAATTCGTTGCATAAGACTTCTTTACTGTGTTGAAAAACGAGCAGGTTACTTTGAGGACTGAGGTGTGCCTGACCCAAGCTGTGGTGTTTTCCACGGCCTCCTGTGCATCTGAACGTTGGACACTGAATAAGGCAGATGGATGAAGAATCCATGCATTTGAATTCTGTGCTGGAGAAGAATGTTGGAAGTCCCACGGACGGCCAAAGAACCAACAGATCTGTGTTGGAACAAGCACAGCCGAGTGCTCTTCGGAGGCAAGGACAGGGACTTGGTCTCGCGTGCTTAGAGACCAGGACCTGAAGAATAACATCATGCTTGGCAAACAGAGGGGCGGCCCAAAAGAGGAGACCTTCAGCAAGCTAGACTGACATCGATGGGCACAAACAGAAGAACGATTGAAGGCATGCTGGCACCAGGCCAGTCAGTGCTTCTTTCTGTTGTACACAGGGTCTCCACGAGTCAGAACCAACCCCATAGCACCTAACGACAACAACAACAACAACAACAAGTTTGGGGCTAAGCTGTCCTGGAGTGCAATGGTTAAGTCCTTGGTAATTTTAATCCATCAGCTGACCTGTGGAAGAAAAGGTTTGCCGAGCTGCTCCCTAGAGATGCCAGGCTTGGAAACTCTTAGGGACAGTTCTACTGTGTCCTATAAGGTCATTATGAATTGGAATTCAGGACAGCACTTAACAACAACATAGTCTTAGAGTGCTGGTACAAATATATATATATATCAAAAGGTAAGTGATACACGGGGAAATATTTTTGAAACACACACGACTGACCAGTTTTAACAAAGTGCTTTTCTACACTAGTGGTGCGTGGGGGAGACACTCAATAGAACAGTGAGTTAGGGCAATAGTGAATTAGGACATTTACATGGAACGAGATAGCAACAAACATTGTCGTCTGCTGTGGTGAAGCAGATTCCCGATTCACAGAGACCCCATGCACAAGGGAATGAAATGCTGCCCCTCCAGCCCCACTGTGAGCCAGAGGATGCTCACTGGATCATTTTCAGGTGGCCAGGCCTTTCTTTGTACTTCGTCTGGAAGTCCCACTGAAAGCCATGCAGCATCATAACAACACACAAGCGCTCCCTGATGGATGGGCAGTAGCTGCACACCAGGGGCATAGACCAGGAATTGAATTTGGGTCTCCCGTATGGAAGATGATAATTCTACAACCGAACCACCCATCAATGATCAAAGCAAGACACTTTTTTCTTAATGTAGATGGCTACTGCTTTCCCACAAATGTGCGCCAGTTTAGACTCCTACCGGCCATGCAGAAAAGACTCCATTTCCAGAGTGGGCCCACGGACATCCAAGTTCCAAACATTTGCTGATCTCCAAGATAACATTCGTATCAAAGCGCACACAGACATTTCTAATTCTTGGCAACCCATGTGTAGCAAAGTCAAACTGGTTTCTTAAGTGTATCCCATGGCTGGTTTTTCAAAAACAGGTCACCAGGCCTTCCTTCCGAGGTATCCCTGGGCAAACTTCCGTTAGCAGCTGAGCTTGTTAACCTTTTGTGGCAGGGACTCCATGTCTCTCAATTGTTGTGGCTGTTGGTCGGAACTCTTGTATTGACTTTCAACTTACAATGGCTCCAAAGGAGAGAGAGCAGAAGTGCCCCATGGGACTTTCGAGGCTGCCATCTCCACAGGAACAGACCGCTAGGCTTTTCTCCCACAGAGCCGCTGGAGGGGGTTTCTGCTCCCTTAGCACCTGAATGCGTGCATGACGAAGGGACTTCATGTCCATCAATCCAATCCCAAACCAAACAAAAACCAAGCTCATTGCTGACTCGTGCCGATGCTGACTCATGGCAACCCTAGAAAACAGAGTAGAACTGCCCCTTTGAGGTCCCAAGACTCAATCTTGATGGGAGTAGAAAGCCTCAACTTTCTCGCAAAGGAGCAGCTAGCGGTTTCAAACCGTTGCCCTTGTGGTTAGTAGCCCATGCATAACCACCTCACCACCAGGTCTCCTCGCGTCCATTGATAAGGGCTGGCAAGTTATGGTACGTCCATGCAAAGTAATAGCACACCGCCCTGCGGAGGAGTAGGGAGGTCTCACTGTACCCATAGGAGGGGAAGATGGCCTGGATGAAACTTATTTTAAAGAGGTATATTGCAATGTTTTGCATCTTGATCGTGGTGAGGGTTACATGAATGTATGCATCAGTCAAGACTCACAGAACAGTTCAACAGAAAGAGTAATTTTACTGTCTGTGAAAAGCAAAGCATTCTTAAAAGATTCTGAAGGAACTGGGGAGCCGTTCTCATATATTATTAAAGGTATATTGATATACACGTGCACATTATGTGTGTGTGCATGTGTAGCATTTCTCCAGAAGAAAACTGGGGACAGGAATGGGGAACACATACTTTGGCTTAACTGTTTGAGTTTGTATTCCAAGCTCTGAGTATGTACTTCTTGTAATTAAACACTGTTGCGTGATTAACAATGAAGTGAGTGTCTCTGGGAGCACAGTAATTATTTGTACCACCCAAGGATTCTGAACCAAGACGTTTCTGTCCACAGAGGTGGAGGTGGAGGTTGAGCACCCCTGGGTTAGCAGGACAGAAGGTGACCATTCCTGTGGGGCTCTAATTCTCAAGCCACTGCAGCCCTGGGTAAATGTCCCACCTGAGGAGGTACAGGGGGAATCGCGTGAGGCCAGGGGACAAGAAAGGGCTTGGAACACACAGGCACTCAGTAGATGGGGATGCTTTCTGCCAGCTGGGAAGAGAAGCCAGCTTGCCTTGAGTTCTCCCATACACAGAGGTCTTACGGGGCCACCATGAGTCAGCTGGACTCCACAGCTATCCCAGGGTGCTGTGGTTTACTGTGAGGCTGGTGTTACGGCATGCATGGCTATCTCTTATTAGTCAACCCCTGGAAGCGTGTTTCACTCACGTATCTGTGCACAGTGAGGGGTGAAATGATCTCATTGACTGTTGGTGCTCCTTATTGGGGGGCTGGGCAGATGAAGGTCCAGAAAAAGACGGGGAGTGACTGACCACCCGGTGTAAGTTGTGGACAGACCTGCCTCATGGATGGAGCAGGGGACACAGCAATCCCCACCCAAGGTCACTCCCACTCCCTCCCCAGCCTGCCTGGTGTGAGTACTGTACCTGTAAGTCGGTCTGCCACCACGAGGCGTCCGTGCTGGGCTGCTGGGCGAGGTCCTGTGGCTTGGCTTTCCGTAGTGGGTATCTCCTGGCCGCTGGAGCTGTGGTGGGGTCACTGGTGGTAGCAGCCCTTGGGGAGGGCTTGGGGTTGGAGATCTGGTTGGTGCTGTATGCCCTCCGTCGCTGGGAGAGGATCAAATCTGGGGGATGGGGGTGGTGATGAGAGGGAAGCCAGCAGGGTGAGGAAAAGGTTGGGGGTGGGAGAGAGGGGTCTTGCAGACAAACTAGATGCCTTCTAGTCCTCACACTTCTACAGCGTTGGCACCCGGAATCTGTGGTCTCTAAGGCCAAGTCCTTTCCTATAAGGACCTCCTCTAAGGATAGGTCCTTTCTTCAAGGCTTTCTGGATTTCTTCTGCCAGCTATGCCTTTTGCTGAGATGGGTTGAAGTAACAGCCACAGCAATGGACTCAAATATACAACCACCATGAACACGGCATAGGACCAGGCAGCGTTTTGCTCTTTTACATATATGGTCACCGTGAGGTGGAGCTGACTCACTCAATGACAAATCACCAACAACCACCACTTCTCTTGAGCTCCATGAGCTTGGCCAAATTGCTTAAGATTAACTGCAAACCTCAGCTTCCTCATCTGTAAAATGGGTACCCATTTCTACAGCTGCTACGTATTCAGTGAGGCTGTTTTAGGAAGGGCGTAACACATAGTAAATGCTCAATAAAAGGTAGTTGCATTAGGTAAATCTGCTGCACAAGACCCCTTTAGAGTATTGGCAAGCAAGGTTGCTAATTGGAAGATTCAAGCCAGGTATTTTCAGGCTATTTGAGTTGTGCCTGACTAAAGCCGGGGAGTTTTCAGTTGCCTCTTCTGCATGTGACAGTTGCGCATTGAATAAAGACAACGGACCAAGCATCGCTGCATTTGAATGGCGGTGCTGGAGAACATTGAACGTGCCGCGGCCTGCTAAAAGGACAAACTGATCTGTCTTGGAAGAAGCACGGTCAGAGTGCTCCTTAGACAAGGATGGCAAGACTTAGTCTCACATACTTGGGGCATGTTGTCAGGAGAGACCAGTCCTTGGAGAAGGATATTGTATTTGGTAAAGAAGAGGGGGAGCCAAAGAGAGGAAGACCCTAAAGGAGATGCGTTGATACCGTGGCCGCCACATGGGATCAAGCCTAGGAATAAATGTGAGGGTGACACAGGACTGGATCATGGTTGGTTCTGTTGTGCAGAGGGTCGCTCTGGGTGGAAACGTACACCCAACAACAACAACAACAACAGGTAGCAGCCAGTGCAGAGGGGGAGCAGGCACCCAGAGCAGGGGGCTCACCGGACTTGGTGGTAGAGTCTCTCCTGGACTGTTGGGCATCTTCTGTCTGCAGGCTGCAGGGTCCCTTCCGGCTGGTGGAGCCCTCTCTGCTGTCTGAGCTGGGCTCTTCGTCCTGGGAGCGGTAGAAGACGGAGCTGGCAGATTCCTGAGAATGCAGCATGCTGTAGCGTCTCCTCTTATCCTGGACAGAAAAAAACGAAGGGCCTGGGAATGAGGCTAAATGTCGGGAAGGACTTCCAGGGGGCAGTAAGGGCTGTGAAAAGAGGGGTGGGGGTTCCATCTTTGAAGAGCCGGTATCACAGGCACGTGTTTTGCTTGCTCAGGGAACTTAGGCAGATGACCAATGGGATTGTCTGTTCCGATCGCTTATGTTCTTTCTATTTTTATTTCTTCATAAGGGCTCAAGGATTGTTTGGGGACTAACTAACCCGTGTTTTGGTGAATCGACTGTGCCATGCACAGAACTGCAAATGCGATCTGACTGTTGTTTCCAACTCCCTATGCTCCCTGCCCCCAGCCTCTATACTGAGGAGTTAATTCTGACTCACAGTGGCCCCACCTGGCAAAGCAGAAATGTCCCATAGGGTTCCCTCCACTGCCATCTTTACATGAGTAGAGTGCTTGGTCTTTTCTCCACTGGGCTGAGAAGAACACTGACCTTTCCGTCAGCAACTGAGAGTTGTAACCACGCCCAGTCTCTTGCCATAACTAACCTTCTTGTAGCTTAAAAGATGTGCCTATCCAGCTATTCCATAGAAGTGGGATGCCACTGATCAAGGGTAATGTAACAAAGAGGAATTGCTGAAACCCTGGTGGAGACTGAACATAATAGTGGGACAGGAGGAAAGTCAAGGGAAATAGAGGAAAGAGCTGGGAGGCAAAGGGCATTTATAGAGGTCTAGATAAAGACATGTACATATG